TTGTTCTTAAAATTAAACTTAGGTTTTTAAAACTTTTTTTTTTCATTTATTTCAATTCATTGTTCTTAAAATTAAACTTAGGTTTTTAAAACTTTTTTTTTTCATTGATTTCATTTCATTGTTCTTAAAATTAAACTTAGGTTTTTAAAACTTTTTTTTTTCATTTATTTCAATTCATTGTTCTTAAAATTAAACTTAGGTTTTTAAAACTTTTTTTTTTCATTGATTTCATTTCATTGTTCTTAAAAATTAAATTTAGGTTTTAAATACTTATTATTATTTACATTATAATACTTAATAATAGGGAAAATAATATCTTTTAAATTAAATATATAAAAGTTTTGCAATTCTCCTCCTGTTAAATAGGACTGAAAATGGCTCTCAAATTTATTAATTTTGATTTCATTGCAAATTTACATTACTTTCTAGTTTAAAGACTTCACAAATTTTGTACGCTGTAAATTGGGGTTTATAAAAAAATATTATAAAATCTTTTTTAAATATTGTGCCATATCGCTTTACAAATGAATAACAAATTATTTCATCTGTAATATCAGTTGTGAAGTGCTTTTTAAATTCATTGTAATATTTTGAAGTTTTCGAAGAGTATTGTCGGTTGCTGCAGTTATATTCTAAAATTTCAAAATTTTGTATAAATTCAGAAAAACAAAATGTAAATTTCCTTGCCAAAGATAATAATATGTTTTTTCTCGATGTTGTATTTTTTGCGTACGTTTTTAATTGTCTATGTTTGCCCTCAAACAAAAACGTCCAAAGATTTATCAATGGTCCAGATTCTCTTATTATTTTACAATAGTGAATTAAAAAATGGTGTTTAGGTTTCAACGTATCTTTAAATAAATGAACATATTGTTCATTATGAAGCATAATGTGCTCTTGGAGGCTTTGAATGTCCATTTCAGAAAATTCTGAAAAAAGCACTAAATCAACCAGTTCGCTCAAATTCAATAAAAATAACCATACTTTATTATTTTTAGGTATTTTTTCACCAACAAGTAATGGGAAAATGTATATAAAGCACATCATTTCTCTCCCGGTCATTTTAAGTTTAAATTTCTTTAGGTGTTCTGCTTTGAGTGACTTATTGCCTTTTTCAGTTAAATCATAATCGAAATTAGCTTTTTGACAGTTTAAAAAGACTAGATCAAAAAACTTATTTTCAATAAAGTACATTATTATGTGACATAAATCATAATTGAGAACGCCTTCAAAAAGATCATGCAGAAGGTCGACTGCGAAATTTTCAATAACATGAAAACTATGCAATTTATTGAAAATCGAATTTTCTCTGACACCTGTTTGTTGTACGTTACTAATTTGAACGTCAGATTTATAATTTTCTTTGTTGCGTAGCTTGTCAGAAACTTCTTGAGCTTCATTTTGGCATTCTGTTTTGCTTGTTTTACAGAATCTACAAAAATAGGTAGAAGAAAAAGATCGTGAAAAACCTAATATGTAATTCAAAGCCAAGTTGTCACCCAAAACAAGACCTAGTGCAAAATAAATAGTTTTTACGTGGTTATTTACTTTTATTTGCAATCCATTTTGTTCTAAATCGTTAAATATTTCAA